GGCAACCAGAGGCGTGTGGAGCGAGGAAACTTGCCCAACATTTCGCCCAGCCCGGGAACCGAACCCGGGGCTCTTGCTTGCAAGGCGAGTGCTCTGACCACTAAACTATAGGATTCTTCACCAATTAATCCATGTGAGAGTGCTGGGGGAGGGGAGGAGGGGTGGGGGGTTGGGTGGGGTGGGGTTGGGCGATTATATAAAGGACACTGGGATGGAGTTCCAAAGGGTGGGGGTAGGGAGACTGAAGACCTGACCTCCGATGGTGGGGCGGGCAGGATGGAGGACTTGGAGCAGGTCGGAGCCCGCTGAGCAGAGGGAGCGGACAGGTCGATATGGAGTGCCGTGCTGTTGTTCAGCTCTGGTAAATCCAGGGGACAAGAGGTCGGGATCCTTCACGTCCTGTAGGCTCCTGTGGGAAGAAACGTTGATAAAAGTTCTGCAAAATTGCGCAACTTAATTTCTGGCCGGATAAAGTTGGTTAGAGTCCTACACTTCTCTTCTCTTCTCTCAGCGTCAAAACCACAAAGGTTATGGGAGGCCTAAACTGAACGACTCTTGCAATATTTATCAGCCTCAAACAAAACTTCCGGCTGAGGCGGCTTCTCAACTTCCTGAACACTCCGGGGAACGAGGGCCAACGTCAAAGTCAATGCCCCCACCCATTGCAAGAGGTCCTTCAGGCAAGTGGATGGGCCACTCAGTGGTCATGCGTTGCCCAGTTGTGTTAGAACAACAATCCTTCCATTTCATCTAACTCCTTCGACGTCAGAATCGTTCGAAATGCCTCCCGGGATTCTGCAGTCAAGCGTAGTGACTGTGTGTTTTGTTAGTAATCACAGCTGTTGATTCGTGGAGAGCACAGCCCCTGCAAACATCCCCTGAAGTGAATGATCGATTTATCCAAAGGATTGTTGGCCAGGACAACCGATCAAGATACACTGGTGATTGTAGAGTCCTGTTGTGTGTTGGTTAGTTCCCTCGTCTCGTAGGCGAGAGGACCTGGGTTCGATCCCCGGGCAGAGCGAAATGTTGGGCAAGTTTCCTGACTCCATATGTCTCTGTTTACCCAGCAGTAGGTAGGAACCCGATTGCTATTCAGTTGACAGATCACTTTTCCTGGGGTAATAATCCCTCCAAAAAAAATTATACTTTGATCACTCAATCCATGACTGTTTGTGGGGACGCTGCTGTGCGCAATTGGCTGCCTCGTTTCGCCCACAAAATACACAGTCAATTCACTTTACAGTATATTCCGTGAAGCCCTTTGAGACGTTTCAACGACATAATAAGGCGCTGTTAACTGTTAGGTTATCTGTGAGGCATTGCTCTGCGTAAATGGGCCGATACTTTTTCCTACAAACACACAGTCCCTAAAACTCAACAGTGAATACTGTGAAGTCTTTTCAGACCTTTTAATGCTGTAGGTACTATACTGAATGCAAGGTTTATTATTAGATATAAGATTCTGCCTCGAACTCCGAGGCCAGTTTTATTATCTCACACGAATAGACACTGAAGGGTGAACCAACGAAACAAGGGTGTGGGGGGGAAGAGAAAATGATAAAAGTTCAGTTATTAGGTCTTGAGTGAGATGAGGAACATTTCAAGGAGGATTTCAAATCCCCAATAATTTCTGAAAATAGTGCTTTCACTTCCCTCTCCAGTCGTGTCACAATAAAGGATGGATGAACAGTTGGCCACACCTATTGGGGACATAGTCTCTGGGTCCATTTCATTCCCAGTTTGTTTTACTATTAACTTTATGACAAATTGAACTTCGGATCAGACGTTAACGTCTCGCGGGGGGGATGAGAGATGTTTCTCTCAACCCCTTCCCTCCCCGCCCCTCGCCCCCACCCCCCCACCCCCCCACCCTATATCCTGGCCAACAATCCCTTAGATAAAACGGGTCACTCACTCCACGACTGATTGCGCGACGCTGCTGTACGCAATTGCCTGGCACGTTCCGCCCACAAAATGCACAGTCACTACATTTTATGGTATAACCTGTGAAGCACTTTGAGACGTCTCAACGACGCGATAAGGCGCTGTGTTTAAATGCAAGGCATGAATGAACAAGTGAGACCTGGCTCATTCCCTCGCCCACTCTCCCCGGTGGGGCAAGAGGCTGTGGATTCGAGCCCCACATCAGGGTCTTTGAGCTCTCGTTCTAGGCTAACACTCCAGCCCAGTGCCAGGGGGAGTGCCCACATTGTTGGTGGGCACAGTCCTTCGGTGGTTCAAATATTAAACCGGGTGGACGTTAAAGATCCCACAGAGCTATTGGAAAAGAAGGGGGAATATCCGGCCAACAATCCCCAGACAAAATCAGTCATTACAATTTATAGCTGTTTGTGGGAGAGTCAGTGGATTTACCCGTTTGAGTCACTGAGAGCACAAGTGGTGTTTGCAATCCAAATGGAGGACAGAGACAAAGAGTCAACCTGGACCTCGGAATGTTTCCCGGCGCAGGGCGAAACCTTGGGCAAGTTTAACTTTCTCCACACGCGCGCCTCTGTTTACCCCGCGGTAAATAGGAATCCGGTTGTTAGTCGATTGGCTTTCCAGAGGTAATAATCCCTTAAAAACATTTTTTTTTTTTTTGAAATCGGTCACTCAATCCACCACTGTTTGTGGGGACGCTGCTGTGCGCAATTGGCTGCCGTGTTTCACCCACAAAATACACGGTCACTACACTTTACAGGGAAGCGCTTTGAGTCGTCTCAATGACGTGATAAGGCGCTGTATCAAATGCAAGGATTATTATTATTATTATTATTTATTATTATTTTAGGTCTTTCCTCCTACCCTGTGTTGACCCTGTGGGTATTATAACCCGCTCTCTCATAGTACTGAGATGAGGGGGGGGGGCACAGATCTCATTACCACCCGCTGCCCCTACTGTATAGTTTCGAATGATTGTGAAACGCAGCTTGCTTGTAAGTTCTGTTAAACTTCCTACTAGTTATGCAATAAATATTTTGTGCGGAAAACCACACATTATCTCGACAGAGAAGACAATGTCCTTCTTCTTATTCTTCTTCTTCTTCACGAAAAGGCAATTTTTACTTGAAAATACAAGGTGACTAAAACGTTGTGATATCTACCCTATTATCTAAAAAAAAGTACCATCATTTCTCTGAAGACTTATTAAACATTGTAATGGTATCACGAGTTTTTTTGGTTACCCAGAAAGGAGCTCTGCAACTTTTTGATTCAGAATTCCCCGCCGCGGACTTACCCCAATGACTGTATTTCCCCGAAGAAATGATTAAGAGGCATCGATCATTTTACAGCTATTGAGAATAATAATAATAATAATACAGCGCCTTATCACGTTGTCGAGACGTCTCAAAGCGCTTCACAGGATATACGGTAAAATGGTTTGACAGTGTATTTTGCGGGCGAAACGCGGCAGCCAGTTTTCCGCCAGGCGGTGTTCAACAAAGAGTCATTGAGCGAGTGACCAATTTTATTTTTTTATTTGGGGGATGGTTGTCCAGGACAGTGGGAGAGAGAAACCCCCTTCCCTTTTCGAATAGCACCACGGGATCTTCAACCTTGACCGAAACAGACAGACGGGACCTCGGTTTAATAAGTGTCAACGTGGGGCTTGAAACCATGACCTTCTGACTCAGAGATGAGAGTGCAACCACTGAGCCAGGCTGACGTACTGACAGACTGGTCTCAGGAAGGAACTGAAAGATACCTTCACTACACCAATATTAGTCTGAAGAAGTCCCCGATCTTTGGAATTTTCCTCTCCCAAATGCCTCGGCCTCGCAATCTCTATTATCTGGACCTCTCCATCACAATCCCTCCACCTTCCTACGCCTCTTCAACCATGCAGGGATTCTTGGAGGAATGGCTTCACGTAGAGGGGCCCAGTGAGAAGGTGGAACTCGCTGCTGGACGCCGTGAAGCGAAAAATCGCTGGCTGCCTCGTTTCACCCACTGTATACACAGTCACTACACTTTACAGTATATCAGATCCTGCTGGTTTGTGGAGTTCTGTAGCATAGCGGTTAAAGCGAGAGGACCCGGGTTCGACTCCCGGGCAGGGCAAAACCTTACGCAAGTTTCCTCACTCCACACGCCTCCGTTTACCCGGCAGTAAGTGGGAGCCCGGTTGTTAGTCGGTTGGCGGATCGCTTTTCCTGGGGTAATGATACCTCCCACCCTCCTCCCTCCACGCCCCAAATAATAAATAAAATAATAATAATAATTTGGTCACTCGAAACGTGACTGTTTGTGGGGACGCTGCTGTGCCCAATCGGCTGTCCCGTTTCTCCCACGAAATACACAGTCACTGCGCCTTACTCGGCGAAGCGCTTTGAGACGTTGCGGCGACGTGATGAGCCGCAGTATCCAGTGCAAGGAATATTAGCGGAGTCCTGTAGCTCAGTGGTTAGAGCACTCGCTTTGCAAGTGAGAGACCTGAGTTCAATTCCAGGCAGAGGGCGAAACCTTGGGCCAAGTTTCCTTACTCCACACAGAGCCTAATAATAATCCCTCCAAAACCAAAACAATAATAAATTGGTCATTTTCAATCCACGACTGTTTGTGGGACATTGCTGTGCGCAATTGGCTGCCGCGTTCGCCCACAAATATACAGTCAATTCACTTTACAGTGTGTTCTGTGAAGCGCTTTTGGACGTCCTCCCGACGTGAAAAGCGCTATATCAAATGCAAGGATTATTATTATTATTATTATTATTATTATTTTATTACTATCACTGACTGGAGAGGGGGAGGAGACAACTGAGCAGTGATTGACAGGTCAGACGTTTGATTGACAGCTGGCGGCCAGGTGATTGGCAGCGCACCCGGTGGGCGGGTCGCGGCGGGTGCGGCGGCCGCTGATTGGACAGGTCCGTGTGAGTGACGCGACCGCGGTGGCGGGCGGGACCCGGGATCGGGCAGGGCGGCCGCTGATTGGTCGGACGGGGTGACTGACAGCAGCCGGCGACGCGCGATTGGCTGAGGCCGGCCCCGCCCCCTCGTGCCGCCTCCACGTCGACAGGGATGCGCAAGATGGAGGCGCTGCTGCTGGTTAGTGAGGCGCTGCCCCGGCTCTTACCCGCCCGCCGCCGGCCTCGCCAGTCCCTCTCCCCGGCCTCCCCGCCACCTCCTCCCGCCAGCGCACCGCCCCAGGCGCCAGCCCCGCTGCTTCCCCGCCCGGGACCCCCACCCAGCCGAGCCGAGGCCTACTCCCACTCGGCCTCTGCTGCCAAAGCCTCGGGCTCGAGTAACCACCTCAGCCCGGGAGTGGGAGGGCAGGATGGGGGGGATGGAGGGAGGGAGGGAGGGAGGGAGAGGACCAGCTGGGAGAGGGGGTTGGAGCTACTTCCCTGTCCTGTTGATCTCTTAATAAATGACAACCTCTCTCTCTCCCTAATCCCCCCCTCCATCCCTCAATCCCTCTCCACCCCCATCCCTCAATCCCATCCCTCAATCCCTCGATCCCTCTCCCCCCCCCATCCCTCAATCCCTCTCCCCCCCCATCCCTCAATCCCTCTCCCCCATCCCTCAATCCCTCTCCCCCCATCCCTCAATCCCTCTCCCCCCATCCCTCAATCCCTCTCCCCCCCATCCCTCAATCCCTCTCCCCCCATCCCTCAATCCCTCTCCCCCATCCCTCAATCCCTCTCCCCCCATCCCTCAATCCCTCTCCCCCCCATCCCTCAATCCCTCTCCCCCCCATCCCTCAATCCCTCTCCCCCCATCCCTCAATCCCACTCCCCCCCATCCCTCAATCCCACTCCCTCCCCATCCCTCAATCACACTCCCCCACCCCCATCCCTCAATCCCATCCCTCAATCCCATCCCTCAATCCCAACCCCCATCCCTCAATCTCATCCCTCAATCCCACTCCCCCATCCCTCAATCCCACCCCCAACCCTCAATCTTACTCCCCCCCATCCCTCAATCCCACTCCCTCCCCATCCCTCAATCCCACCCCCCATCCGTCAATCTTACTCCCCCCCATCCCTCAATCCCACTCCCTCCCCATCCCTCAATCCCACTCCCTCTCCATCCCTCAATCCCACTCCCACCCCTACCTATAAAACTGTCAGCCTGTGGCTCAGGCACTTGCACTCTGGGTTTGGGGGTGGTTCAGGCTTGGTGGAGGTTCCTCCCTCCTCTTCTACACTCTTCCCCCACTTGTCCCCCCTCCTCAGTGACTCTTGAGCTCACAGTCCTGGCTGATGCGCCAGTGCGATGCTGGGGGGAGAGAGAGAGAGCACCTCATTGTCGGCGGTGCCGTTCTTTGGGGAAAGAGTTTAACCAAGCTGTCTTCCCCCCAACGGCCCCCTCGTCTGTGCACTGTTCAGGTGGACGTTGAACGTCCTGAGGGGCTGTCTGGGGGAGGGGAGAGAAGGGAGTTTGTCTTTCTCGGTGTCCCCTGGTCGACAATCTCCCCCCCCCCCACACACACACACACACGTGGTAAACATCTGGCATTCACTTCATGACTATTCGCGGATCGTTGCTGCATGCAAATCGGTTGCTTACGAAAAGTGCAGTCACTACAGTCGATGGCGATTTGAGCCGCGCAGCAAGTTCTCTTGTAATTCAAGACCTCTGCGGGCGATTGATCTGTTTTTGTGGCTTCTGGCACGGAATAGCGTGAGTTGCGAACTACATTAAATTGGATACGTGGCGCAAGAATGGAAAGAGGCCATCCCGTTATTCCCACGGGCTTTTGAGCAACTGATTGATCGGACTATGCTTCATCCCTTTGCGCCTTTCAAACGCTCCGGGACGCTAGCCCGCATGAAGGGCGCTATATGAATGCAAGTTGTTGCCGTACATTTCGGCATTCCTAGAGAATCCGAGCGCTATTCACGGAATGGTTGGCTGACTTGTGTTCTGATAAGAGGCGACTTCTTTTAAACTCGAAACGATCCCTGTTACAGGGTTTTGCCCACAAAATTCAGCCAATTCACTTTACAGTATATCCTGCGAAGCGCTCTGAGATGTCTCAACGATGTGGTGAGGCGCTATATCAAACGCTAGGATTATTATTATTATTGTTGCTTGGATTAGGGCGAGCAGCGCATTATCACAGCGTTGAGACGTCGCAAAGCGTTTCACAGAATACACTGTAAAGCCAATTGACTGCGGATTTTGTGGGCAAAATATATACATTCTTTTACATCAGGATGGCATCCCATACTTTTGCACCTGAGCTGGGGTTGGGAGCCTCACCATAACTGTCCCACAGTCAACAGTGAGATGAGCGGCCGATTCATTAGACTTTTGATCAGCCGAGTTTGTCTAGAGTAAATGGTCACCACACAACGACGACTCCCATTTACACAATGGCCTTCATTGGGGCAGTGTCTTGGAGCGATTAACAGTAGCTGAGCCTGAAGCCAAGTGGGGGGAGTGAGGAGGTGACTGTAAGCACGGTCGAAGACGAAGGTCTTCTTCGGTTGTGATCTTAAAAGAGGGGAAGGATGGGGCGAGGCGGAGGGATTGGAGGAGAGCGTTTAAAAGCTTTGGGGGTGTAGTGGCTGAAATTGCTGGGGACGAGGGACGCGCAGGAGGTCAGAGCCAGCCGAGCAGAGCCAGCGGGTAGTGGAGTTTGGGGAGAAAGCAGGTAGGGAGGTGCCAGGAGTAATGTTCAGTCGACAACAACATATAGTTTATATAGCGGCCTTCGCGCAAGACAGCATCTCGTTACGAGACCGCTGAGCGTTACATTGATGAACGTGAAGCACTGCTCGAGGTGGAAAGGACGATAAAAACACAGACACCTTGTTGCTTGCTTCTCACCCCGCTCGCTTGACGTGACTACGAAGCCATTTTCGTTGGAATATTTCCATATTGACCTTACTGGGTGTCTCCCAGTCTGCGGTCCACAGCAATGTGCAGTCTTTCAGCGCTTGAATGTCTTAGTATTTCAACCTAAAAATAGACTCGGCTAATCTGGTCTGTGTGTTATACCGTGCGTACTACACTGGCATTGCCCAGCAGCTTTGCAGCTCCTGCCTGCAGGAGAAAACAGGAATTGTGATCCGTAAAGCAAGCATTCCTCACTGACTCGTCGATCCACAGCCTCGTGGTTGTCTGATCACCTTTCCTCCCCTACCCTCTCCCTCACTCCGCTCCTAGCAAGGACACCTGGCCAGCTGTGTGATGTGAAGCGCTTTGAGATGTCCTCCCATTGTGAAAAGGTCTGTGGGCTATGTAACTGCGTGTGCCTTGCTGGTGAGATAAAGTGAATGTCTACGCCACCCACAACCCCCCCTGCCCCCCGGTCTCCGGAGCAAAGTTTCCCCCACCCCCTCCCACCCCCAAGGCTGAAGAGAGACTGGCTCCCAAGCTGAAGTTCTGTCATACACTCAGGCTGTAGCTAATGGAAGTCAGTGCATCACAGAACTTTGACTCGAGATTGCCATCGCCACGTGACGTTGTGAAGATTCCGGAAGATGAACAGGGATTGAGTGTTGATGGGTTATACAAGGTCTCGTTTCTCTCTACTCTCCTTCCCCCACCTCCCCCCCAGCTCTGGCCTGGAGATGTGAGCTGGAGTTTAATACTGGGATCGAATTGATCCTCAAACCCACTTCAAATCATCACAATTAGCCGTTCTTCCAAACGTAGCAAACAGAACGAACGGCTGTCCTTGTGGGGTCGAGTCCAAATCCCCGACTGTCCAGCGCCCTGGGACGTCCTCCCAACGTGTAAATGTCATTTTGTATTGTATTGTGTTCGGAAACGGCCACGATACCTGCTTCCATCACTATCACAGATTAGAGCCTTCGATCTGGTCTAGTTTCTGGGTTAATGTAAGTGCGTGGGCTGGTGGATGCCTCGGGGAGACGAGGACTAACGCTGGCTGGAATGTCTTTGCAGGAACCTTCCCTGTACACGGTGAAAGCCATCCTCATCCTGGACAACGACGGTGAGAGACTGTTCGCCAAGGTACTGTCCCCGCGTTCTTACTGGCGTTCTACTGCACGTGTGATATCGCTGTCGCTTGTCGGCCCGGTTCAGTCAGGAGCAGTCTCAAGTGTGCGCTTAAAAGTTCAAAGCCTCACATTAGGATCACAGTGACGCTGGCGGACTGCTGTGTTGTTGGCGGTCTTGCCTTAATAATAATAATAATAATCCTTGCATTTGATATAGCGCTTTTCACGTCGGGAGGACGTCCCAAAGCGCTTCACAGAACACACTGCAAAGTGAATTGACTGTATATTTGTGGGCGAACGCGGCGGCCAATTGCTCACAGCAATGTCCCACAAACAGTCGTAGGTTGAAAATGACCAATTTATTATTTTTTTGTTTTGGAGGGATTATTATTAGGCTCTGTGTGGAGTAAGGAAACTTGCCCGAGGTTTCACCCTCTGCCTGGAATTGAACTCAGGTCTCTCACTTGCAAAGCGAGCGCTCTAACCACTGAGCTACAGGACTGAGCTACACTTCCAGGTGTTAAAGATCCCGTGATGCAACAGGAAAAGAGTCAGGGGTTTCTCTCTCCCTGCGTCCTGGTCACCGATCCTTTCAGTACAAGGGACGTTCGCTTGCTTTGCGGGAACTTGCGATCAAATCGTCCCGACGCTTTACTCGACAAATGCAGTCACTGCCCTCGGCGGCAATCACCGGGGAAGCGCTTCGAGACGCTTCGGTGCTGCGCTCGACCTGGCAATCGCACAAATTAGTTAAGGGAACCTTTCTAACTCAATCGTGGGTCCCCTTCAGTCACAGAAGGCTTTCAGCGCGGAAAGAAGCCATCTCGTTCATCTGATTCCGCCCGTGTGCTGCTGGCTTGCTCACTGTAATCACCTGATCTGATCCCAGTCCCTCTCTTCCCCCAACTGGACCTCTGCGCCGCACGGAAAAATTTTTCCTTGTGGGTTAAACCACTTCCTTTTTCAATGCTGTTATTAGACCCATTATGGCCCCAAAGGCTATTTATGTGAAGGCAATCCCTGTTCCCCCAAATCTGTCTGTAAAAAAAAAAAAACTCCCTCTGTTATCAGGGGGCGTTAAATCCCTTCACAGCAGCGAAGTGACTGTGGAGCCTGAAATAAAACCAGGAGTCGATGGGAACACGCAGCGGGTCAGGCAGCATCTATGGAGAGAGGAAAGTGAGTTAATGTTTCAGGTCGATGTCATCGACCTGAAACATTAACTCACTTTCCTCTCTCCATAGATGCTGCAGCATGTTTGTTCCCAGCGACTCCTGCTTTTATTTCAGATTTCCAACGTCTGCCTTATTTTGCCTTTGGTTTTGTGAGCATCTCAGAGCGATCGTGATCCACTTACACGCTGTTCGTTCTCCCCCTGCCCAGTACTACGATGAGACGTACCCGTCAGTCAAAGAGCAGAAGGTGCTTGAGAAGAACATATTCAACAAGACCCACCGGACGGATAGTAAGTCATGGCTCCTCTCTCTCTCTCGAGTGGGGCTCAGATTCTGTGTTTGCGTGACCTGGGTTCCCGTCAGGGCGAAACGTTCGGCACGTTTCCTTACTCCACACGCCTCGGTTTACCCAGCAGTAACTAGGAACCCGGTTGTTAAGTCGATTGGCGGATCGCTATTCCAGGGGTAATAATCCCTTCAAAAAAATAAACACACAAATAAATAATAATAATCATAACTTGGTCACTCAATCCACGACTGTTTGTGGGGACGCTGCTGTGCGCAATCGGCTGCCGCGTTTCGCCCACAAAATATGCGGTCAACTCGCTTTACAGCGTGTCCTGTGAAGCGCTTTGAGACGTCTCGAAGACGTGATAAGGCGCTGTGTCAAATGCAAGGGTTATTGTCACGGGAGCCGTTGCTGGTGGGAGTGAGGGGTGGTGGGGGGGTGGGTGGGGGGAGAATTAACCATGGAATAAGTAAAATCAACTCTAGGCTAGGGGACGGGAACAAAAACAACAACAAAATTACATTTGCATAGCTCCTTCCGTGAGGAAAGGGGGCCATTGAACCTGTCAAACCCGCTCCATTGGGTTGTTGGTCCGTGTCAGACGTTTTAAAGGTTCCCTTGCTTCCCCTTTACACCGTGGCTTCACGCGTGTCTTATTGAGAGAGTGGGGTGGGTGAGCTCTGCTGGTGACTGGCGTAGCTCACTCAGCGCAGCGCAAGACACAAGCTGAGGGAGTGAAGGAGAAAGCCGCCTGAGACTCTGGTTTGTGCGTGAATTACCTGCCTTGTTGCTCCAGGTGAAATCGCCCTGCTGGACGGGATGACAGTCGTATACAAGAGCAACATCGACTTGTATTTCTACGTAATTGGCAGCTCTCATGAGAATGAGGTAAGTAAGTGAGGTTAACGTGGTTGGTAATAACTATAAACAGAGTCCGGTAGAGTAGTGGTTAGAGCGCTCGCAAGAGAGAGAGGACCCGGGTTCGATTCCCCGGTTGAGACGGGGTGAAACCCTAAGTCAGTTTCCTTACTCCACACACACGCCTCTGTTTCCCCAACAGTAAGTAGGAACCCGGGTGTTAAGAGTCGATTGGCGGATCGCTATTCCGGGGGTAACAATCCCTTCAAAACAAAATACATAAATAAATAAATAAATAAATAATAATAATAATTTGGTCACTCAAACCACGACTGTTTGTGGGGACGCTGCTGTGCGCAATCGGCTGCCGCGGTCGCCCACAAGATATACGGTCAACTCGCTTTACAGCGTGTCCTGTGAAGCGCTTTGAGACGTCACAAAGACGTGATAAGGCGCTGCGTCAAACGCAAGGATTATTGGTATGGGAGCCGTTGCTGGTGGGGGTGAGGGGAAGAATTTTACAGTGTATCCTGTGAAGCGCTTCTAGGCGTCTCGAAGACGCGATAACAGGCAAGGATTATTATTATCAAATCACGATGAGATGTCGGGCTACGCAAAAATGCGCTCTTTCAAAAGAGTTAATATTCTCAGCACAATTGGACTGAGAGGATTATTTCTCTATCTCCTCAAACTAAAATCTCTGGACCTTTTGATAGCTCCAAAAATAGCCAGGATTGAAATATCTAATATATAATATTCCTCTCCCCCCTTCTTCTCTCTCTCTCTCTCTCTCTCTCTCGTGCAGTTGATGCTGGTGGCTGTACTGAATTGCCTTTTTGATTCCCTGAGCCAGATGTTGAGGTAAGACTCTGCAGTGTGAGCAGGGAATTATTGCAATGTCGGAAGTTTGTGCCTCGTTTGAGGCTGTGCTTGCCGTGCAACACCAATTTACATTTACACAGCGCCCCCTCGCACAGGGTAGCGTCCCGGAGCGCTTGACAGTGTTGGAGCACGACTCCGAGCCTGGGGTGGGGAGGGGTGACGGTGGTTCTTAAGCACGGTCGAAGTGGAAAGTCTTCAGGCGCGGATGGGGAAGGAGGAGGCAAGGTGAAGAGGGGATTGACTGAGAGTGTTCCAGAGTTTCGGGGTGTAGTAGCTGTAAGCGTGACCGCCGGTGGTGGAGTGGGGGGCGCACGAGGGACAAGCAGGAGCCCGGAGAGAGCTGGGCCGAGGCAACGGGTTGTGGGTTGCGGGGGGTAAGCCGGTCGGAGAGCAAGGGAGGGGCCAGGGAGCGAAGGGATTTGAAGACAAGTGTGAGGATCTTGAGATTGACCCATTTGGCGATAGGAAGCCATTGGAGCCTGTGAACACAGGCCCCGTTAAGAAAATTGAGCGTAAGCGGCGGGAAAGGGCTCTGGGACGAGAAATAGGCAAGTTTAACCTGATGTCTGCCAAGTGCCTGCCTTCATCGTGTGTTGTGCAGCTGTTCACCTTGCATTCCCATGCTCGCTCGCTCACTCGCGCTCTCACACACACGCCCACCACACGTGCTCTCGCCCGCGTGTACACACACACGCACACACCCACGTACACACAGATGCCTTGCTCATAGGCACGTCCACGGAATCGCACTCTTGCACACCTACCGTTAAAGTGAGTCGGTAAAACATTTTTTTTTTGGCAGGAAAAACGTGGAGAAGCGAGCACTACTGGACAATATGGAGGGGCTGTTTCTGGCGATCGACGAGATTGTGGATGGGGGGTACGTCAGCAATCGCACTCTGTCACCGTTAAGGGATTTGGGGAGAGGCTTGACCATAATAATAATAATATTCCTTGCGTTTGATACTGCGCCTTATCACGTCTTCGAGACGTCTGAAAGCGCTTCATACGGTAAAGTGTAGTGACTGTATTTTGCGGGCCAAACGCGGCAGCCAATTGCGCACAGCACGTCTTTGAGATGTCTCAAAGTGCTTCACGGAATATACTGAGATACAGGATATAATAATAATAATCCTTGCATTTGACATAGCGCTTTTCACGTCGGGAGGACGTCCCAAAGCTCTTCACAGAACACACTGTAAAGTGAATTGACTGTATATTTGTTGGCAAACGCGGCAGCCAATTGCGCACAGCACGTCTTTGAAATGTCTCAAAGTGCTTCACAGAATATACTGAGATACAGGATATAAACTTGAACCCACGACCCTCTGACTCAGAGGCGAGAGGGCGAATTACGTCCAACTCCCAAAGGAAACCTTTTCCTCACTGTTTTACAGGGTTATTCTGGAAAGCGATCCTCAGCAGGTGGTACAGCGAGTGGCATTGAGAGTAAGAGCGCTTGATTTGTGGTTCCAACTGTTTTGAAGGTCGGGGTGAGGTGGGGGGGCGGTGGGGTGGGGGCAGAATTATAGGGGAAAGTCTGGGGAAAATCTCCCTTGAATTGAGTTGGCCATTCTCCTGAAAACCCTTTCATAGAACCATGGAACCTTTCAGCACAGAAGGAGGCCATTCAGCCCATCGTGCCTGTGCTGGCTCTTTGGAAGAGCCACCAATTAGTCCCACTCTCTCCCCAGCTCTTACCCCAACTAGTCCCACTCTCTCCCCAACTAGTCCCATTCCCCCCCCCACCCCAATTAGTCCCACTCTCCCCGCTCTTACCCCAACTAGTCCCACTCCCCCCCGACCTTACCCCAACTAGCGCCACTCCCCCCCCCCCCCCTTACCCCAACTAGTCCCACTCCCCCACACTCTCCCCATAGCCCTGCATATTTTTCCTCTTCAAGAACCTATTTAATTCCCTTTTGAAAGTTGTTATCGAATCCTCTGTCTCCCTGAGCCCGGAGGAGCGAGAGGTCTGGGGAGTAGCTGGTGTTGGAACGATGAGGTACTTAATAATAATAATAGTAATAATAATAATAATAATCCTTGCATTTGATATAGCACCTTATCACGTCGTCGAGAAGTCTCAAAGCCCTTAGAAACGTAGCAACAGGAGGAGGCCATTCAGCCCTTCAAGCCTGTTCCACCATTCTATAAGATCACGGCTGATCTGTATCTCGACTCCAATTACCCCCCTTTGCCCCGTATCCCCTGATCCCCTGACCTGACAAACATCTCTCCCCCCCCCCCCGTCTGGACAATGTAACTGGATCCAGCCATAACCCACAGCCTTTTGGGGGAGAGAGAGAGAGAGAGAGATTCCCACTGCCCTTTGGGTGAAAAACTACCCCTGATTTCACCCCTAACTGGCCTGGCTTCACATGAAACTGTAAAGTGTAGTGACTGTGTATTTTGTGAGCGAATCACGGCAGGCAGTTTGCACACAGCAGTGTCCCCACAAAACAGCCGTGGAGTGAGTGACCAAATTTATTTAGGGGATTGTCAGCCAGGACACTGGGGGGGAGAGAGAGAGAGAGAGAGAAAGTCCCTTCTCTTTCCGAATAGCGTCGCGGGAGATCTTTTAACCCCCACCCGACCAGCCGGACGGGACCTCGGTTTAACGTCTCGTCTGGAGGACGGGTGCTTGCTGGGGCCTGGGGAGCACGTGCCGTGCATTTAAATGTCTCCTCATCTCCACAGGCTGACGACGTCCCTCTGACGGAACAAACGGTGGCTCAGGTACGGCACAGCGACAGCTCGCGTTTAAACACCGCCCTTCGCGCTGGGCAGCGTCACGGGAACGCTCGACAATGGCTCAGCCCAACGCTGAGCCGGTGGGAGGGTGGTGGGGGTGGGGGGGGGGGGGGTTGTGGGGAGAGGTGACTGTAAACACAGGCAAAGAGGAAGGACTTCAGTCGTGATCTAAAAGAGGGGTGCAGGGGGGGGGGGGGGGGGGGGGGGGGGCGAGGCGGAGGGTGCAGTGGGGGGGAGAGAGGCTAAGCTCTCTGTCTGGCTAAGCTTTCCTGCTGCTAGTCCAGTTAGGACCACCCTACTGCTTAGGGCTTTGGCTTGCAGAGTTACCGGGAGATGAGGGGGAGGATTCCCTGCCCGTGACCGGTCTTTGAGCTGAGACCTTGTGAGGTGGGTGCATCTGGGTGTTAGGGTGATCGGAACCTCTCGCAGGAACAACAACATGCAGTTATATAATAATAATAATAATAATCCTTGCATTTGACACAGCGCCTTATAACATCTTCGCGACGTCTCAAAGCGCTTCACAGAATATACCATAAAGTGGAGTGACTGTTTTATCTTGTGGGCGAAACGCGGCAGCCAATTGCGCACAGCGGCGTCCCCGCAAGCAGTCGTGGTTTGAGTGACCACATTATTATTATTCTTTTAATTAAAATAACATGGCGGTGAGGATAAGGTCAGCGGGAGTTTTTGAATCAGTTCACACGCTTATCTCCCTCCTCTTTGTGTTCCCCTTCAGGTCCTTCAATCAGCCAAGGAGCAGATCAAATGGTCTCTACTCCGATAGGACACCCATCCCTCAAACATTCCTCTCACTCTCTCTCTTTCTTTCTCTCCGATATTCCATTCTGCATTGTAATGACTTTCTAAGAAAATGTAAACTGTGGTTGTAATATGCACTGTTCAGAGGGGGTGAGGGTGGGGGGGTGGGGGTGGGGGGGTTCTAAGGCAAGATGGTAGATTGCATCTTCCCACCCCCCCCAAATCTCCAATTCAGGGACGTTTCCCAAAGCACTGAGAGAAGCAGGATCCTCGCTCCTTCCTGCTATTTCCGTTGGGAATACTTTACTCCAATATTCTCTCTCTCTCTCTCTCTCTCTCCCACTAAGCTCTACGGGGTGGTGGGGGGGGGTCGAATTCCACATTAATTCTGCAAATCCAATGGGTAACAGAAAACGCCAGCAAGTCCCTACAGACGCTCAGCAGGTCAGGCAGCATCTATGGAGAGAGGAAAGTGAGTCAACGTTTTGGGTCGATGAGCTTTCCCAGGGACTTCCGATTCCCAAGCTCGGTCCAGTCCAGTAATCGGGAGATTGATGCCTTGTTTGATTTGAGGATGGGCGGTGGTGGGGGGAGAGAGGAGGAACGGGGCTTTCTTCGCTGGGTCAGTGTTTGGAGGGGGTGGAGGGGTTGGGGGTGGGGGGGGAGCTGTGTTGTGGGCAGCTCAGTGGGTTGTCACCGAAAGGTGCTCGCTCTTAAAGAAGGGTGGGGAAGGTGCTCTTAAAGGGGAGGGTGGGGGAGGAGAGAGGGGAGCATTACCCCCATCCCCCCCCCTTGTTTTCCCCCAGGCTTGACACTGGCTGTCCACCTTGTCCCACCTGAACTGTTCCGATCCCCACCACTCGGGAGCACTGCTCCCCGTCGCCATCTGCCGACAGACGTCAAGGGTTGTGCCGAGCTCCCCGAGGGGGTATTGACCCCCTTTCTCCCCCCACACACCGCCCCCCTTTTTACCAAGGTGGCATTGAGCACGAACCCCTGTATATCGCGGGACACCTCAAAGCTCTTCGAGACATCTCGAAAGACGTGAGAAGGCGGCGTATCAAACGCACGGACACGTCCGGGCTAAAGCCAGGGCTCGGGAGCTCAGCCTCGCGCTCTCTCTCTCTCTCTCTCTCTCGCTCTGTCTCTCCAGCATTAACCTCGGGGCTGAGCACAGCCACACGTTCGCTGCGATAGGTTCACCTCCGCCCCGGGGCGACGTGAAGGTCTCGTCCTCTCCTCTCGTCTCGTCTCTTAACGTGTAACGATCTCCCGAAAATTGACCAAAATAAATCACTTGTGATTGAAGCATCAACGCACGGACTCGGTCCTGGGCCTTCAGTCGTGTCTTGGGGTTGGGGGGGGGGGGGGGACATGTGAAGCTGCAGCCGTGAAGTGACTGTGTGTGTGTGTGTGTGTGGTGCGTGTGAAAAGATGGGACAGTTGCGTGTGCTGGGGGGGTGGGGGTGGATAGTGGACCCCGTATGTGTGGGGGGTGGTGGGGGTGAGAGAATGGATGGTGCACGTCTGTGTCTCGCTGCTCGCTCTTCGTCTCGCACATGAAGATGTCGAGTCTCTTGGAGGAATCCTGGCTCCCAAGTCAACACCTACAGGTCGGGGGGGGATTGAGGAAGATGACGGCTGCTCCAACCATCCACAGAGCAGAGGATGCTCTCTCTCACGGCCCCCTGGAGTCCATCCATTTCCCTCCTCAATGCCCTCCCCGTCCCTCACTCCCAACCATCGACGCTCGGGAATTTGGAAGCCACCACTAAGGTGGGATTGTTGTGGTATCTGCTTATACCTCGTCCCCTCCGCTCCACCATCAGGGGCCACGCTTTCAGCCACTCTACCTCGAAACTTTGGACCTCTCTTCCCCCACCCCACACCCCCCCCCAAAACCATCCCCCTCGCCCCCTCCTTCCCCTCTTTTAGACCTTTTACGGTCACATCCCCGCCCTCCCCCCAGCTCAGCATCGTGTTCCGTCACTTAATAATAATAATAATAATAATAACCCTCGCATTTGATACAGCACCTGATCGCGTCTTCGAGACGTCTCCTCTCAAAGCGCTTCACGGAATATACTGCAAAGTGTAGTGACTGTAGTGTCATGGATTCAAGTGACCAATTTATTATTATTTTTTATCTTGAGAGGTTATTATCAGGGGTTTGTGTGGAGTGAGGAAACTTGCCCAACATTTGGCCCCACCGGGAATCGAACCCAGGTCTCTCGCTTTGCGAGGCGAGCGCTGTACGCTACCGGACTCCCCAAGTTAAGCACTCGGAGACGTACGTTACCCTCCTGAAGGTTCTTACCCGTCTGTGAGTTTCCTCGTCAAAAGAAACCACTGATTCGCATCAATGGCCGTGAAGTGTAGTGACTGTTTTTTGTAGCAAGACAAAGCAACCAATTTCAGCACAGCAAGGCCGCCACATAGCCAGGAGGTATTAGTGCACGTATCTGGACGATTTGCGCACAGGACACCACGGAAGAAACTCTACACATGGAAACCCCAGAGAGTGATTGTTGGAATGGAATACGCTCTCTCTCTCTCTCTCTCTCTTTCTCTCTCTCCCCCTCCCCCTGGAGGACGCCCCCTGCTCGCCTAATTCCACAGAGTATTAGGCGCAGGTTGGGCGAGAGCCAAGACTTGGGGTGGGGGGGGAGCCCAGAGTGTGTGTTGGGATAACTGCTGGAGTCTAACCAGCTAAACCCACACATAGCTCGGCCATTGGGAGAGAGAGGGAGAGCGCCGTCTGGCCAAGCTTTCCTGTCCAGCCAAGACCACCCTCCCCGTTAGTTAGGGCTTTGGCTGTGGGGTTAACAGTGCTGAGGGGGAGGATTCCCTGCCCCCAGTGACTGGTCCGCAGAGCGGTTAAGGATGTGGGAACGAGATAAGAACCCAAAAGGGAGTTAGCTTTGGGCTACGGTTGGATGAGGAGAAACATTTTTACACGGAGAGCCGTTACTGTCTGGAACGCACGGCCTGGAAGACTGGTGTGAAACAAACTCATTAGCAACTTTCGATAGGGAACTGGACAGGGACTTGAAAAGGAAAAGCTTGCGAGGATGTGGGGAAAGAGCGGGGGGAGTGGGACTGATTGGGCACAGAGCCGGCACAGGCGCGGTGGGCCGAATGGCCTCCTTCTGTGCTGTAAGGTAACAGCAACAACAACAACCTGAACTTATACAGCACTCTCCACACAGGGCAGCGTCTCAGAGCTTAACAGTGGCGGAGCCTGACTCCGAGCCGAAGGGGGAGGTGGTTCTTAAACATGGTCGAAGAGGAAGGGCTTTCAGGCGGGACTTGAAAGAGGGCAGTGAGGGGGCGAGGCGGAGGGGCTGAGGGAGAGCGTTCCAGAGTTTCGGGGCTTAGCAGCTGAAAGCGCGACCTCCGATGGTGGGGGCGGAGGGCACGAGGGAACGAGCAGGAGGCCGGTCGGTGCTGGTGACACCGGGTGGTGGATTGGGGGGAGCGAGGAGGTCCGAGAGGGAGGGAGGGAGGGAGGTGCCGGGGAGTGAAGGGGTTTGAACACGAGTGGGAGAGGATCCTGAAGTCGATCCGTTGGGTGATGGGGAGCCCGGGCCGGAGCTGGCGAGATGGGGGGAGACGGAGTTTGATCCGGGTCAGTCTGCGGGCGGCGGAGCTCCGAATGAGCCGGAGCTTTGGAATGGTGGAGCTGGGATTGGTGTTAATGGAGTTGGCTCAGCACAGATGATCCGAACGTCTGCCTTTTGTGCTGTAAAGAACCTCTGTGGTTCCAGGAGAGAGATCGATGGCTTGTGAGACACCTTCCACCGTCAGCTCAGAAAAATGTGCGGTGTTTGGTGACCTCTAATGGTCAGTCACATTCACTTCACTTTCATCCGCAACATCCCCGGAGATCACACGGACCGACTCCGTAATAGCATCAACTATCGCGGCTTCGAGACGTCTCAAAGCGCTTCCCGGAACATACTGTAAAGTGCAGTGACTGTGTATTTTGCGGGCGAACCCCGGCAGCCAATTGCACACAGCAGCGTCCCCACAATCAGCCGTGAATTTCAGTGACCAATTTATTATTAGTAGTTATTTGTTTGTTTGTTTGTTTGTTTGTTTATTTCAGCGCCTTATCACGTGGTTGGAGACGTCTCGAAGCGCTTCCCAAAATACACAGCCACTACACTTTACAGTATATCCTGTGAAGCGCTTTTGGACGTTCTCAACGACAGCGACAGCAACAGAATGACACTCGAATTGCGCCTTTCACATCGGGAGGACGTCCCAAGGCATTGGATGCGATAAAGAGCTGTATCAGATGCGCGGAATATTATTATTATTATTATTATTGGGTTATTGGAAAGGAAAAGGGAGTTTTATTCCGGTGTCCCGGCCGATAATCTGTTGCGTGGCTTTCTCTGCCTTCCCAGCAATGTACCGTAAAGCTCCTCGAGACATTTCAGTGCTGTCGACTTGACATCTGCACACGTCGTCTCTCAAATAACGAACGGGAAAATATAATAACAATAATAATAATAATCCTCGCGTTTGATACAGCCTTCGAGACGTCTCAAAGCGCTTCTCAGAACATACTGTCAAGCGTAGTGACTGCGTGCTTTGAGGGCGAGACACGGCAGGCAAATGCGCACAGTAGCGTCCCCGCAAACAGTCGCGGTTTGGAGCGACCAATTTTATTACCATTTTTTTTCCTGAGGGTTTATTATAAGGCGTGTGCGTGGAGTAAGGAAATTAAACCCAGGTCCTCTCGCTTGGCGAGGCGAGGTCTCTAACCCCCCTACACCCCCCCCCCCCCCCCACCTGAGCTACAGGACTCCTCGAGTACGAATGCGAATAATAATAATAATAATCATCAAGAAAATTCCAAGCAGATTCCGATGCTGAAACGAGAGGCTGTTTGCTGCTGCGGGGATTGGGGCAAAGCGGAGAGCCTTCAGTCTGCTCTGTCCAGTTTACAGTGAGATTCACTGAGAAAAACCGGTTTAAATTTGCCCCTCTCTCTCCCTCTCTCTCTCTCTCTCTCGATCGAGGACGGCGGCTGCTGTTGCTCAGTGCAGCTGCTGGAGGGCGCCACCTCGCGCCGCACCCTCCAACCCTCGAGGATAAAATTCATCCTTGTGTTCGTTACAGAGCCTTTACCATGTCGTTGGAACAACAACAACTTGCATTTATATCACCCCCCCCCCCTTTCACGCGGGGTAGCGTCCCGGAGCGCTTGACAGCCGGAGAGAGAGAGAGAGAGAGAGAGAGGGGGGGGGGGGTGGGGGCGGGGGGCAGGTGGGGGAGGTGACCGTAAACACGGTCAAAAAAGGAAGGTCTCTAGACGAGATTTGAAAGTGGGGAGAGGAGAGAGGTGGGGGGGGAGAGGGGGGGGGAGGGAGTGGAGGAGGGAAGGGAAGGGGCCGAGGGGAAGGGATTGAGAGAGAGAGTTCCAGGGTTTCGGGGCGACGAGTGTGTTTTTTTTGGGTCTGACACACGCAGAAACCCATCACCGTTGCTTGAGGGTCTCCAAACCCAACTGAGGATTCCCCGCATCCCACATACACCTGGAAACCCCAGAATGGAATGCGCTCTCTCTCTCTCTCTCTCTCTCTCTCTCGAGGGACGTCCCTCTGCTCACCTAATTCCGGAGAGTATTAGGCAGAGGTTGGCGAGAGCCAAGGTTTGGAGGGGGAGCCCAGAGTGTGCGTTGGGGTAATTGCTGGAGTCTAACCAGCTAAACCCACATAGCTTGGCCATTGAGAGAGAGGGAGAGAGAGAGAGAGAGCGCTTCTGGCTAAGCTTTCCCGCTGCCTGTCCAGCCAGGAACCCCCTCCCCGTTAGGGCTTTGGTTGTAGGGTTAACAGAGCTGAGTGGCAATCTCAAGGGTCACACTCACCGCGTCACACTGGGAATCTCAAGGGCAACTATTGGCCTTCGCAAACCCGGGGGGAGCGCGAATGATGAGGGTCCACACGGCCGATGGAGGTGGGACAAGGGGCAGCATTTTTGGGGGTGGAGGATGGGGGGGCCAAGGGGTCAGATCAGAACCTGGGGCAGATTTATTGCAAGGAGAGAATCTGTGTGTGGCTGAATGCACGTGTACAGAGAATCACAGAATCTTACAGCACAGAAGGAGGCCATTCAGCCCATCGCGCCTATGCCAGCTCTTTGGAAGAGCCACCAGTCCCATTCCCCCGTTCGTACCCCAACTAGCCCCACTCCCCCACTCTTATCCCAACTAGCCCACTCCCCACTCTCACCCCAACTAGCCCCACTCCCCCACTCTCACCCCAACTAGCCCCACTCCCCGCTCTTACCCCACAGCCCTGCAAG